ATCACTGTTGCCGTTTGCATAGAAAACATGGCGTGCTCACCTAAGGATATTGGTCGTACATGTCAGTCGGCGAAATCGTCACGCAATCTCAAAGTCAAAATACACGAGTAACTAGTATTTTCTTGAAAGGAGAGGAACCGGAAATTAAGTTTCGCCCACACCTTTTCCCTTTAATAACTTCGTTTCGGTTCTTTGCCTTCTTAACGAACGTCGGAACATTTCTTTTACTTCGCTTCAGATCCGGCAATCATCCTGTCAAACCGGTAACCAATCACAAAATTTACAAATTGTCTACCACCTGCATAAGCACACGCCAAAAATTGTTTTCGCTAATCAATACTCTTCAACGCTATTGAGTTGTAAAACATTCTCAGCTTTGTTCAGATAAATATATTGGGATGGATTTCTTTTTTGTATTTAATTTTTAATTAAAATTTTGGAATTTGTGTATTTATATTTTTTACAGCAAATATGACACTAAAAAAGATTACTTTTACAATATATGTTTTCTTTTTATATCTGTCACGGTCGCGTTAGTTACTTAACCGTAAGTGAACTACGTTTAAGGTTTAAACAGGTTTGTTGTTTGAATTTTGACATGAAGTTATCATATTCTGAACTTCCAATAATAATATGGCTGAAAGCGTGATAAGTATCAGTATCAGTATCAGTGTCAATTTATCCTTAATTTAATGAAAGAACACAACAGACCTTTAATACAATTTTCATCTGTGTATGAACGAGCTGCAGATGCATTGAAAATCAGTATTCGTAGTGTCGCAGGTGTAAAAACGGAAGATAGTAGAAAAGCGCAAAAACAAAACCAAAATAATCATATTGTACCGAATTAAAGACTAATGATGTAAGTGATTAAGTGAAAGGAGCAATTAGGAAATTATTTTGTGATATGTGAGCAAGAGAAATACAATCAAAATAATAAATATAAAAATAGAGAGCAAAAATATGGCTCTTAATTCACTTGAGGGGATTACTACTTATTTTTTTAAATTAGTCTGATATCTTTAAATTGAGATTTTACATTATAGTTTATTTTAAGGATACCTATTGTTTTCTTTATACTTTATTTTTAAAATCTATTTTTGTTACATGAACTTTATTTAACAAACAGTCATTTACTCTACACCCATCGCGTAATATACCGTAAGTTAATATTGATTCAACTAAAGCAAAATAAATAAATTTTAAATAAAAGAAGATCCTTAAGGTATATTTTTGTAAGCAGCCTCTTATATTTTGAGCGATTTGCTTTTATTGTATCTAATAAAATGATTATAATGAGGAAAACCCGGAAAACCTCACCCACAACATATTGATTGATCTACAAAAAATTTTTAACATCTATAAAAGTGGATTACAGTTAAAGGGCAAACTTGTAAGAGGTAAATTATACAACGAGTGCTGCAGAAAGGATATATCATCTCCATAATAATGTATGTTGACGCAAAAGACACTTTTCTGCCTCCCATAAAAATAAAACTATATATTTGAAGATGGACTGCCACCCTGTGATAAATTTGTTGGCTTATGTTACATCTGAAATATTTTAAAAAAATTTCGTTGATTCTTCGTTTCACAAAAAGACTTCGGCAAGTTTTTGCTGCTTCTGGATGGGCATTCTTCTAATGTTGAACTGTTTGATTATGCTGTAGCGAACGATGCGATTTTGTTTTACTTGCCCAGTCATACCACACATTATCGGGCACGGTGGTGTAGCGGTCTATCGCGCTTATATTCATTTATAGGCAAGTTTATGAGTCTGAGACTGCTGGGTTTCGAATCCCAGACCAGACCATGTGGATTTTTAATTAAATTGCATGGTTCGGTTTAGGATTTGATGTGTGGCGTATTAATAGAAATTCAATTTCTGTTGATATGACATGCAGATTAAAAAAATTCGCCATACATTACCGTCTCGATGATGGTGGGTGAGGTTTTCCGGGTTTTCCTCACCTGTAAGTCAAATGGCACCATCAATCATCTTTAAGTCGCCCCGGAGCGCCACGGCAAATAATAATAATAGCCGTCCCTTTCCCCGGACAAGCTCAGCTTTTGGGGTTAAAATTCACTCGTAAGGGGGTGAATTAGGGAGAGTATTATTATTATTATATTGTCTCCAATCGCTTGATCGATCATTATTCAAGCCTCTTAAGACCTATTGTCTCAAAACTTGCCAGAATTAGATATATAACAAGCCATGTCGAAAAATGAACTGATTTAGGTTTACCACAATTTTCAATATTGCTTGGTGTAAAGGGACAACAGTACAAAAAGTTGGATATCAGTTTTAATCCCGAATAGATTTACAATTACATATTTGTTTTCGACGATATAGCACCGCGTAAACTAAACCTCAATCTACAAAAATTCCTAAAATGATATAGACAACATTCTAAATGACCAATAAGAGGATGCTACTGATATTGACCACAACAGTAAAGACAAAGTAGAAATATTATTGTTTCGAGTATTGAACTAGCACCAAATAGACATAAAAATTACCGAAAATAACATGCTGAAGTACTAACTAAATAATTTTTGTGAAAAATGCAACAATTTAAGGCAGATATGTGTATCACAATAACCATGATAGATTCCATAAACATGTTAATTATGGAATTAAACTAAATATAAAAACAGTAGTAAATGCATTGACTTAACACATTCTTCAATCGAATTAATATGTACAATACTTTTTATTTCATTTTTGTTTAATTTTTGATACAGCATTCCTATAAATCATTTTTTAATCTTAAATCGTCCAATTAAGAATGGGTTCAAAAGAGAAATGGATCGGCTGTTTTGATATCACTTTTATTTATTATCATCTGCCTTAATTATACTTCGTAATTTATAACTATTTTTTAATTAAATGTCATAATTGCACCCATTAAGATTAAACAGCGTGTTATGAATTATTTTGAAATGATTGGATTTAGAAAAAAATGACACATAATAATGTGACCGTTAATAATTATGGTGTTATTGTGGTGTTCAAAACAATTAATTTAATTTAGAATTGAAAATAATTATTTAACTATTCAGTTAGTATTACTAATGTTTTTAAGGGCCATTTGCAAGGATAGCACATAAAAGTAATTGTTGACATATGTTTCATGCCCACCGCCATCTTCTTCGTCTCCAGAGGCTTCACTCTTACCACTGGGGCTACCTCCAGTTCTTCGAGTCCCCAGAGGCTTCTTCAGCGTTAGGTCAAATGACTTTTTACAAAATGACGTTTAGGTTAGATAGCTTAGCTTAGTTTGGCAACACTGTTGACAGATGACATCTATCACTAGGTTAGGTTTATATTTTGACATATAATACCTGTTGACAGATTAGGTTAGAAAGCTTATTAACAGTTGATATATGTAATGTTATCCTAGGTCGCTACATCGTGACGTAGGTTGGCTGTATGTTGGCTGTCATGTGAGGGGGTACTATAAATAGAGTAAACAAGGCACCCAGATAAACAAAAAACAATTGAAATCTTCAGGAAAAATCAAGCTTTATAAGGGGATGAAGACTTTTGATTCAGAAAAAAATATGAGTTAAGGAGGTCTGTTTAACTATGACTATCCATCTATATTTAAACATTTTCGAATTATGTAACAAATGATGATTCTGGCAATTAAATAGTTGATATTAATATAAATGATTCATTCTGAGGCTTATTTTTATTATTCTGTAATTTTTATTTTTAAATAACACAAAAAACCATAATGAAAATTTAATACAAAATTATTACCTACAAAAACACAAAAATTAAATATTAAACACATTGTTTAACAAAGAATAAATATTTTAATATAAATTAAGATTTATTCAACAAACAAATGAAATAATACTTCACAACAAAACAAAAATCATAAATATACAGTGCCTATTTCTGTTTCTAAATTTACATTTAAAATTTTTTGTTTTTTTATATGGAGTGAGGAAACTTTCCAGAAATTCCATTTTCCGATTTTCTTTCTTCTTTTTTGCTACTATTTCTTTTTTTTTAAGTTCCCTTAATTTACGAATCTCTTCTAAAATTGTTTTAGCTTTCCCTTTTCTGTATTTTCTTTTTGGGGCAAACTTGTATCTAACCTAATCCCTCTTTTTCCCATTAATTCTGTTCTCCCAATTTCTTCAGTATTTTCATCATCGACAACATACTCTGGAAATATAGTCATTTCGGTTGTTGATCTGAGAGAGCTCCCTGCAAAAAATAATGTGAAGTAAGTCATATATACAATTTGTATGCTTTAACTTACTTATTGCTCATATTCACAACTTGCTCTGTTTCGTCCGGTTTTTTTATTATTTATTGTTTTTTCTTTGTACCCTCGGTCTAGAGTGTTGTATCTATATTCAACTTGTTTTTCTGCGAAATTGAATCCCTTTCTATTCAGTTTCATTGTAATAACGCGCCAAATGCTTTTTTTTTTTTAATTGCTGCAGCTTAACCTATTTTATTCTTGATATTCTGTACGGACGGAATGGTCAGGCATCGCTTATGAAGTTACTTGCCTTTCACGAGTTTGACATTTGCAACTTTAAAAGTTTTGTAATTTCCATGTCTTATACTATAAAATTGAATAAGATTCTGTTTAATTTAGATAATTTAGAACTGTTCAAGTGTTCAACAACAGGAATTTAAGACGTGTGTGTGTGTGCGAACGTGTATTAAAACTGCTCCGATAAAAGTTCAGTTAATTCGATGTGAAATCAACCTGGTAAAATCCTGGAATTGGTTACAGTGAGTAATCTAACATAACATACTAAATTCTACAAAGTAAACACTTAGAAACTTAAAGAAATAATTGCAAATTTTAGATATTTAATTGCATTTTCCTTTTTAAAAACCAGTTTAACCATAATCACATTGATATCTTATCTACTAATCAGTCGTGCTTGATTCGATAGTATCACCTTTGTTAAAGCGGACCACACACGCAAAATACGATAAAATTTTAAATATTTAAATATTACATACAATGAGTGAAATAGATAATAACACAACGTTAAAGGATATTTTAAATGAGATTATCAATAGCAAAAAAGAACTAAAAAATGCAATAGATGCTTCAGAGGCTAGACTATTATTGAAGGTGGAATCGGTACAAAGTAAAGTCACTGAATTACAGAAAGAAAACCAGTTACTGAAGGAAGAAATTGAAATTCTTAAGCAACAAAATAAGAAAAATAGCATTGTAATTTTTGGGCTTCAAAACATTCAAGATAACCTAAACATACAATATATTTGCTCACATATTAAATCGCTGTTGGATATAGATATAAAACCATCTGAAATTAATGAATTTTATACACTGGGAAAAGAAAAAAATAGCCCTTTGAAAGTAAATTTTGTCTGTTCGTGGAGGAAAACTGAAATTTTAAAAAATTGTAACAAACTTAAGGGAAAAAATATAAGCATTGTACATGAACAAACCCCCAAACAAAGATATGAGTCCAGTATTCTTAGAAAGCATTTAAATTTGGCAAAACAAGATAAACAAAACAACTGTTATATTAAACGAAATAAGTTATATGTAAATGAAAATATTTATTCTGTTGAAAACTTGTTAGGCGTAGAAGAACTAGCGAACAACCTAAACAAAAAACCGAACAGTGCTCCATCGACTCCAACTGCTGTAGATCCAACACTTCCCGAAAATAGAAACGCCTCTTCTAGTACTTCTCAAGATCCAAACATTGCGATTATTGTCAAAAATCCACCCAGTACACCTACCATTAACAAAATTGGAAGTGGAATTCATGTTAACAAACCACAAACCAGAAACCAGGGTCAGAGATCCAGAATCAATTCGCAAAAGTAGATGTACAATTTTATTTAATTACAAATTTAATCTTCTCTATTTTAATTTATTCTGTCTTTCATATTTGTATATATCTATAGGTTTTCTCATTGTAGTTTATATTTCAAGTTATATTTTTAGTATATTTTTTACTCATAATAAATTAAGGATATGAAACGTAATATCAGATTTTCACACCTCAACGTAGGATCTATTTTCTCTGTATTTGATCAAGTTACTGACTACTTATTGAACAAAAACATAGACATATTTGGCGTTAGTGAGACTTGGTTAAACCCTCAAATTGATTCTACTATTATTTTTATTCATTCTTACCAAGTTGTTAGAGCTGATAGGGATGGGAGAGGCGGAGGTGTTGCTTTCTATATTAATTCAAGTATCAAATATAATTTAATTTTTTCGCGAATTACTCCTAACCTTGAGCAACTTTGGATTTCTACCAAGTTTCGCGGAAAAACATATATTTTTGGAGTTATATATCGCCCCCTTAATTTCTCTGTTATTAACTGCCTTGATGAATTGGAGGATAGCGTCGCCAACTTGTTACCATCTGGTGACTTTTTCATTGTCTCAGGAGATATTAATATAGATTTTATGACGCCTAGTAGAGGTTGTGATCTATGTATAAATTTTTTAAATTCCTATGGACTAACACAAATTGTTAATGAACCAACTCATATAACCCCGCACAGCAAAACTCTCATCGACATTATATTTGTGTCAGATGTCCATCAAACAACATGTGTTGAGGTATTAGATATCAGAGGCCGTGGCTTGTCATATCATCAAGCTGTTCTTTGCAACATAGAGTCAATCACTTTAGAAAAGAAAGCTAAGTATATAACCTATCGTGACTTTTCACGATTTGATATTAATCTTTTTAATGCTGAATTAGGTTCCGTAAATTGGGACATAATTTACGAATTAAATTACGTTGAACATATGATTTCCCATCTGAATAATTCCTTAATCCAGCTTTTCTCTGTATATGCTCCTTTAGTAAGAAAAAAAGTTACGAAACCGCATACCCCTTGGATTACTTATAATATAAAAGTAATGATTTCGTTAAGAGACAAAGCTTTAAAAAAATATAAAAAAAATAAGACTGCAGTAAATTGGACTAGCTATACCGACCTAAGGAATTTTACTACTGGAGCAATTCGACGAGAAAAAAAGGCTTATTTAAACTTTATTCTTAGAGAAAAGAATTCCAAGACCACCTGGAACACTCTTAGATCCTTAGAAATTCTTAGAAAAAAAGCCAGTCCTATTATACCACCTAACTTAAGTAATGTTACTGAAATTAACAAACATTTTAATTCATCTCCTACTACTCTGAAGTCACATGACCAATTAGCCTTACTTGATCGGTACAATGAAAATATATATGAAAATAAATTCGAATTTAAATCTGTCTCTTCTGATACAGTTCGAAAATCTCTAAATCTTATAAAAAGTCATGCCGTTGGTTTAGAGATAACATATCACTGCGCATGATACAGTTAGTAGAAAATTGTTTAATCAATCATTTAACATTTATTTTTAATAAAATAATTTCTTCGTCTCATTATCCACTTTCGTGGAAACGGGCCTTTATTATTCCGCTTGCTAAATGTAATCAACCTACTAGCTTATCTGACTTGCGTCCTATTAGTATTCTACCAACCCTTTCTAAATCGTTTGAATTTATACTTAAAGATCAAATTAGCAAATATGTATATGACCAAAATATAATAACTCCAGCTCAATCTGGCTTTAGAATGCACCATAGTACGACCACTGCCCTCTTATCTATCACGGATGACCTTTTTAAAGCGACAGACCTGGGAAAAGTCACATGTTTGGTTCTTCTTGATTATAGCAAAGCATTTGATACTTTAGATCATCCAACACTTTGCAAAAAACTGAAATTTTTCGGTTTTTCTCATAAATCCGTTCGTCTAATATCAAATTTTCTTAGCAATCGTACTCATAAAGTTATTTTGGAAGCTGATGTATCCAGCAGTCTACCCGTTAGTCAAGGTGTTCCGCAGGGATCCATTCTGGGACCATTGCTGTTTTCACTATATATAGCAGATTTTCATAGTTTTGTTAAAAATTGTGTGATCCATCATTATGCAGATGATACCCAGTTATATCACTCGTTTAATAATAAGTGCTTACTTACTGCCCAAAATCTTATTAACGACGATTTAAATGCATTACTTGATATTTCTACAGCTCACAACCTCAAAATAAATTCTAAAAAATCATCCATCATGTTATTTGGCCCCAAAAAATTAAGACAATTAACAATAAACGCATTACAAATTAAATTAGGCGATGCTCTTCTTCAATTCACGAATGAAGGAAAAACTTAGGTCTCTGGTTAGATTCTGATCTTCGTTTTAGTAAACATACCTCCACCATATCTCAAAGTTCGTTCAACGTCTTGAGACAGTTGTACCCTAACCGAGACCTGCTTTCCACACAACTCAAACTTAAACTTTGTGAATCTCTCATTTTTTCCAAACTCAGTTATTGTGATTCCATCTACGGTCCAGCCCTACTCCAATCCGATTCCGCTCGTTTACAAAAAATTCAGAATAGCTGTCTACGTTTCGCCTATGGAATTCGAAAATTTGATCATATCTCGAATAAAATGAAAGAATCAGGTTGGTTGACTTTCAATAACTATCGCCTTTTGCATTTATTAACCCAAGTTCACAAAGTTTTACTCATACAGAAACCTGATTATTTAGTTAACAAATTAAAGACATTTTCCAATATTAATGAATTTCCTACGCGGAATCGAATGACCTTGGTGGTACCGAATCATAACACGGCTCTATTTAAAAGATGTTTTTCGTATGTTGCATGTAAAGAGTACAATAAACTTACAAATGAATTTAAATCATATAACTTGCTTAATTTCAAGAAACGCCTAAAAGAATCTTTGTTCAATAAGCAATGGTCATAAAAAAATATATTATATAATGCAACGAATTTGGTTTTGAAAATCTGTTTATTTTTTATATTTTTTTTTCTTTATTATATTATATTATTATATTTCAATGTTATTTACAGGTTAAGTTGTAAATCAGCACAAGCTGAACTTCACCTTTTCATCTACCTTATATATGTATATATTTACACTTATACTAAAACTTGATGAATAAAGACGCTTTATTATTATTATATAAGGAAAGTAATAATTTTGTCGCACTTGTTGTCCAAACTGATTTACTTCTACATTTGTGACAGTTTCCATATCTTAAATATAAAGAAAGTATTAAAACTAGTTATAAAGTCTGGACCATCAAAGATTAGTCATATGTGACCTAACTCAACTTAATTGTAACAGTGTTTACTACCAATTATGCTATGCAGTGTTTGCCTAAATTCTGCAACACCTTAGTCACAACAGTACAGATTTGTAGTTTAATGCATCCTATAGCCCTAGTCTTCAACGTTTCAGACCTTCAGAATTTACTGCTGTTAAACCATTACCTACCTGAACTGAGAGTTCTTTCTGTGACCCTCACTATGTTAATTTTATCAAATGTTTTATGATATAGGTACCCTAAATTTTTCCAATTTTCGTTAAGAATATGCTCGAGAAAAAACTGGATGGTAATGAGTTTACCATCTATCTAAAACTTCAATCTTAGTAATTTAATATTGATCATCAATTTGTACAAAACAAAAGCATTAATGCATTTATAAAATCGAAGAATCGAACGAATTAAGATACCTACCTTGTGCTTATCGATCATTTTAATAAATTTACTTACTGTTATTTAATTTATATATTAAATCTTCAACGATTTCATATAAATCAACTGATATATCATTTATTAAAAATCGAATAACAGCCATTATTTTAAGTAGCTATCATTACCAAAGAATATCCACTATCCATCTTGTTATTATTTTATAATTTACGTTGTGTTGTGTTGTTAGATGATCCCCATTCACCACACTTCTAGTTTATTCGGTATATTTCACACCTTCTATAACTAGAGTGGAGACAAGCTACACTGGTGTAATTTACTCCAGGCAAAGCAATGTCCAGTGTAGTGTAGTTCAACTACACCGAATCAATGGAACGATATTTTCGGAAATAGTGTAACTCGGTGCTCTACTTCAGTTGCAAAGGAAAAGACTTTATTGGCAAGCCTTAGCAACTGAATTAATAGACAAATCTTACATTTTTTAATTATCTTTAATGAAGATTGTTGGTGTTTATTTGTTTTCACACTTTTGATAAGATTACCCAATTAAGATTGGACCATATCATTTTAATTTAATTTATTGACATTGTATTTATTAAAATTTTCAATTATTTCTATCTTAAAATTTTTAATTAAAAATGCATATTCATTAATTTAATTAATTAAATTAATGGATATATTACACTAACATTGATAAAATTATTAAGAATCTAGTTATCTCTCAACTGTGCTTAATGATATTATACAGATTGTCTCTTAAATTATTCACACATTATTTTTATACATTAAAGTAGTTTAGTTCCTAGTTTAAGCATTTAGTTTAATTTTGACACTGTTTAGCGTATTTCTAATTTTGATAGTCGTTATAGACATCCCTTTTCATGTTTTATTGCCTCGTTAATCTAAACATAAATTATAAACTTTATTGTTAACCATTACAAAAGCCGAAACTGAAATAAAAACACCACAAAAATAATTAATACCTTTTTCGATGGACTATAAAAACTCGCCAGTGATTTGCATATCTTAAAAAGCAATAAACAAGTTCAAAACTTCCGGAAATTTTATCATTCCCTACATTGTCCCGATGTTTCGCTCGTTTGTGTTTTTTTTTTTCTTCTGCATTCTATTTTCTGGTAGAAAATTCGAATTTGAATCACAAAAAGGCTTTATTTTGCTAGGAAGGAAACCAAGTTTTGTATTCTTAATAAAGTTAGGTTATAAAAGAAAATTCAGTTGATATAATTTATTTGGTTATACACCCAGAAGAATTATGATATGGCCAATTTTTACAACTGCTGAAGATTATCTAATCTATATTATCTATTATCCAAATGGCAAGAGGAACAAAGACGAATTAAAAAAAAAAAAAATACAAAATACATTTTAAAAATAAAATTAATTTAAATAACATATTTATATAAATACCAGTGGAGTGTTGTTAATTAGGTGTTTGAAAAACAGTATGAATGTTGATTAGAAAAAATGGACTGTTTTTCAAGAGCAAGATGCAAGAGAATACATCAGCCCACAAAAGACATACAAATCCCATGCTTTGCTTGTGACATCTGCAAACAATTATATTGCATTGAATGCAGCGAATTAAGCTCCTATGAAGTACGATGTATGCCCCTGCAGAAACGTAACCTGAAATTTCATTGTAACAGCTGCAAAAAATTTGAGCATGCAAAATTATTGGAAAATATCATACAGGATAAAACAAAGATAATTATTATAATTAAGTTAGTAAATGAAGAAATCGCTAACCTAGAAAAAACCAGGTAAATACTACTACATATGCTAATATTACAAAAAAAGAAAATGTAAAAACTGTAGAAAACTATCCTAAAGTAATTATAAGACCGAAAAATGACCAGTCGTCCGATGAAATTATAAAAGGATTAAACTCAAAAATTAATCCCGTCGATCTAAAATTAGGAGTATCAAACGTTAAAAAAATAAATTATAATAAAATGTCAATCAACAAGTAAAACTGTAAAATTAAAAAATGAAATTGAGAATAAATTACCTAAACACTATGAAATAGAATTTACAAAAATGAAGCTACCTAAAATAACAATAGTAAATTTCACACAAAATATGTCAAACTTGGAAATTGAAAATTCAATAAAAGAACAAAACAATATAGACGGAGATATCAAAGTAACATATTTCAAAAGGAAAACTAGAGACAATACTAAAACAATTTGCTGCGAATGTTCACCTGTAGCATTTCACCAAATTATGAATAAGAAAAAAATCTGTATTGGATGGGAAAGGAATAGCGTTTTTGAAAATCTAACTATACCCAAGTGTTACAACTGTCAAGGATATTTTCATAAGAAGGAAAACTGCATCCATAAAATTGTATGTCCAAATTGTTCTGAAGAGCACCAAAAAAGTGATTGTTCAAATAATATATTATCATGTAAAAATTATGTTGTGTCGAATCTGAAATATAAAATAAAACAAAATATGATACCAGTCATGGATGTGATAGTAGGCAGTGTCCTTCTCTTAACTATCATGTTCAGCGACTTAGAGAAAAAACAGATTATACGATTTTATAGTTATACATGTTTTCTTAAGTGAACTTTTTTAAACAATTTATTTGCTTCCTATATCTTAACTTCTTAAAATTTTAACGGAACTTAAGAAAGAAATGGTTCATGAGAAGAACATGAATTTAGATGATATAGAACAGTTTACTAAAATTGTAAGTATTTCTAAATATTCTTCCTTTTTTAGGATTTTGCATATAAATATTAGAAGTGTATACAAAAATTTTGATATTATTAATATTTTTAACAACTTCCAACCTGAATGAAATTGACGTGATAATACTTGGAGAAACACGATTCATTCATTCAAATTCAGACTTCATGATACAAGGCTTTAATAACAGTTCACTAAATCAATGTGATAGTGTCTTAATTTTTGTACATAGAAACCTTAATTTTAATATAAACTACTTTAAACTTAATACAGATAACACTAGCCTTAACATTATGGCTTGTTACAGATCGCCAGCTACAAATGAAAAACTATTTGTCACATATTTAGATAAATTTTTATGCGATAAACAGAAATGACTTTGATATAATAATTGGAGATTTAAATTATGATATATTAGACCACTCAGATGCGTCCAGTAATAATTACATAGCAATGCTACTATCCCATGGTTTTGAATCTCATATAAATATTTATACAAGAGTGACCCTAACATCTGCAACATGCTTAGATCATATTTTTGTAAGGAAAAAGTCAACAGTCACTAAATTCATAAACAAAGCATCTGTTGTAAATTATAACTTAACTGATCACTTTCCTATTTATTTCTCAATAAATCATAAAGAGCAGAAAACATCAGACAGTAAATTAACCCACAAACATATAAAAAAATTTGAGGATAACAAATTTTCAAATTTAATTTCAACTATTGAGTGGTCAAAAATTATTTCTAACAATAACCCTGCAGAAGCTTATAATATGTTTTCTGAAATAGTTACCAACTTAATAAATTGGCGCACAACCACCTCAACAATTACAATAAAAGAACACAAAAACTAAAACCCTGGATAACTAATGGTATAATAAACTCAATTAAAGTTAGAGATAAACTTAAAAAACTAGTTAATAAAAACAAACAAAACTTGGAGATTTTAAATAACTATAAAAATTATAGAAATCATTTAAATAAAATTATAGTTGCAGCTAAAACTAAATATTATGCCAATATTTTTGAAAACACAAAAGATATTAAAAAACTTTACAGTACAGTAAAAGAAGCTATAAATGAAAAAACTAATAAATCTAATGAAAAAATTGTTATTAAAAATCACAAAACCCATGACACTTTTACCACTGTTAAAGAGATGGTTGATTTTTGTAATAAATACTATATTGAAGTTAGTAGTAAATTGGCAGGAACAATTAACCATCAGATAAGTTTAAAATAAATTATCCGTCTATCAAAGACTCTTGCTTTCTAAAACGAGTTGATGAAAACGAAATTGCGTCACACATCAAAAGTTTAAAAAACAGTAGCTCACCAGGAATTGATAACATCACAAGAAAAATGATTAAAAATTACTATAATCATCTTTTATACCCACTTACACATATAATAAATCTAATATTTCTGACCGGCATTATACATGAACAGTTTAAAATTTCAATAGATGTACATATATAAAAATGGAAATAAAAATAACATAGCCAATTACAGACCTATTAGTCTTATAAAACACATTTGCTTTGACTTTAATTATAATTTGATTATTATGTTAATTTAATTTTTAATTATATGAAATGTATTTGTATCAAATAAAAAAGTCTGTTATAACTTTTCTGTCAGTTAGTTCATTTTGCGTCGTTCGCCATATATTCTGAATGACTGAATCAATATCCATTTTATTTAGTAAAAAGCTAAAATCGCAGTATCAACACGTCAAAAAAAAAACAAAAAGCAAAATAGTCTGTAAAAATTAATGTATCGTTCAATATTTTATGTTTATCTATCTCTACACTTCCAAAAACAATATCGTCACATAAAACTGTATACCTACTCCAATAATAATTAATCCATCCCAGGATTTGTATATTTGTTTTGCCATGTTAAAAAACTAATAAGGGGAAATAAGGGCAAACAATTATAGGAAAACAAACAGAAATGTTTATTTTTGGAATTTAATTTTAACTCACAAAATTTGTAATATCGATACACCTATGTTGGAAGAAGAAGTAGTCTATCATTGTGAAGCTAACGCTGGAAGTATCAAAACGCATCTAGAACGTTCGAGAAATATCTGAATTTCTTCGAGAACAGTGAGGTGC